TATATATATATATATATATAGAAGGAGGTAGAAAGTTATAGGGAAAGGATTGGGAAACAAAATCAGTTAGGAAAAGTAGAACCAATTATCAGGTTTATAATACCATGATGACTAGTTTCCATTACTGCAAATCTTTGATTAACAGAAGGTTCAACACTGTACTGCTAATCTGACATTTGTGGATGGGGTGCATCAGATAGATGTAACTAGTTACAAGAATCTTACTTTAAGAACGCGCACTATGCGCTGGGCCGGGCCGGGCATGGTAGCTCATGCCTGTCATCCCAACACATTGGGAGGCTGAGGCCAGTGGATCATCTGAGGTCAGGAGTTTGAGACCAGCCTGGCCAGCATGGTATAACCCCTTCTCTACTAAAAATACAAAAATTAGCTGGGCGTGGTGGTGCATACCTGTAATCCCAGCTACTTGGGAGGCTGAGGCAGGAGAATTGCTTGAACCTGGGAGGCGGAGGTTACAGTGAGCCAAGATCACACCACTGCACTCCAGCCTGGGTGACAGAGTGAGACTCCATCTCAAAAAGAAAAAAAAAAAAGAAAAAAAACCTGCACTATGAATGTGATGATGGGAATCAGTAAATACTTTTCAAAGTTAGCATTATTGGGACTTCACTGGTTCTAAGGGATTGAAGGGCAGAAATGAGCCAAAGATGCATCTGGCAGAAGCAACAAGGGCAAATAAAGGTTTTCTTTTTTTACTTGCTCATGTTTGAAGGTAGACTAGAAGGAATAGTGTAAATGGAAGAACTTCAAGATAAAACAGAGGCCATTTTGCTATCCCTTCACCTTTTTATAGAGAATAAATGAGATTATCTTCAGAAAGGGTGAATATGAGTTTAAAGAGAGGTTTGAAATTTTGAAATGGTTTTGTGGGTGAATAACTCAGTGACCCATAGACTTGCCAATTAGTGTCCAAGACTAATGGAAGTTACATGACATGAGTACTGGGAAGATCATGCAGGCTGTGGACAGTTCTTGCTTCCTCAGGCAGACCTATGCAGACTGGAAGCCAGAGCAGGAGAAGCCAGAGTGAAAAGCTGGTGCTTGTTTTTGGGTTGGCCTGGAAGGAGTATGAGGTCAGAGTGAGAATGACATTGAGAGCTGAGGACGACAAAGCCTCAGCCAAGAAGAGAGTGTAGAATAGCAATATACTTTTAAGTCCCTGACCTATGATATTTGTGCAGATAGAAGAAATAAATGAACAAATTAGAAAAGAGAAAGAGGAAGCTGAGGCTCGTATGCGACAAGCATCTAAGAACACAGAGAAATCAACTGGTGGAGGTGGAAATGGAAGTAAAAACTGGTCAGAAGATGATCTGCAATTACTAATTAAAGCTGTGAATCTGTTCCCTGCTGGAACAAATTCAAGGTACTGGTTTTAATGAAACTCTACTACTCACACTGGAGCCTAGAGGTAATGTAGACGAGACTCCAAATAGCAGCAGTTGTTATCACAGAAACTTGAAGAGATAAATTCTGTGCCACACTGGAAAAGTGTGAAAAGACTGACAGCATTTTGAAGCTGTCAGTCTTACCCATTACACCAATATACATGCATGTACACATATGACAGAATGCTTCAGTTTCTCAGGAAATTGAAGATCATGAGACAAGTCTTGACTGTTATGTTGCGTTACTCTGTCATGGCTTGTGCTAGGGACTAGGTTTTCTGTAGTTTTTCTTTTACAGTCTTGCTCTTTGTTACTTCTTACCTCAAGCTAGAGCTTGAGTTGAACTCAAAGAAAGCTATAGAGATCCAGCATCCCTAATTCTTTTTTTTTTTTTTTTTTATTTTTTAAAATCAGAACAATTATTGCGTGACTGATTGGTGAAATTCTTAAGATGAACTGGATGCCGCAACAGCTGCCCTCTTGGGTTTAGGTGTTGTTCCTTCACGGAATCCATGCCTGAATCTGTGGTATACAATTTTTAGGTGCCTCATTCGACCAGTCCCGGTGGTATTTCGTCTTTTAGCCTTGGCACTCCAGTTATACTTTCTCTTGTGCTTGGCGGGGTAGCCACATTTGCCGCAGGTTGACTTCTGAAGGTGGTAGGCCTTAGAGCCACAGCGGTGGCACGTGTGCGTCTTATTACGACGCTTCCCAAACGATGACGTTCCCTTCGTCATCCTGCTTCTGCGACCGGGACCAGAAAGCCAGCATCCCTAATTCTGTAGATGAAACTAAGGCTGATTTCAGAATGATTGATCTCCTATTCTTAAATATGTTAAATTGGCAGTATACACAAATAAGTGATTTCCTGTTGATTTGTACACAGAATCCACAAGATGTATGGACTTAAAACCAAGATTATATAGTTGGTTTAAACTTTTGAAAAGCAAAAACCATAGTCCAGGCAATAGTAATTTATAGGAGCAGCATAACTAGTCCACCTATTTGAGCTCATTCTGTACATATAATAACCCTTCTGCAGTAAAAATCTAATGGTGTTTGTTTTCTGTTTTGTTTTTCGTTAATGCTATTAAATTATAATATTGGTTGCTCATCCTATCAGATGGGAAGTTATTGCTAATTACATGAACATACATTCTTCCTCTGGAGTCAAAAGAACAGCCAAAGATGTTATTTGCAAAGCAAAGAGTCTCCAAAAACTTGGTGAGTTTTGAGAAGTCCGTTTGTTATTTTAAATAACTATTTTTAAAATAACTTAGGCAATTTAATAAAAGATTAAATGAGATGATCTGTTAAGTATTAAAACTTTTTCATTTCTCAGACCCTCATCAAAAAGATGACATAAATAAAAAGGCATTTGATAAGTTTAAAAAAGAACATGGAGTGGTGCCTCAAGCAGACAACGCAATGCCTTCAGAACGATTTGAAGGTAAATTTTGCTTTTCTGTATGTAGAAAATGCTAGCCATGTATCTGTGCTGCCTGTATATACCAGACTTAGGGTCTGTGTTCAGAAAGACAGAGAAATAAAATGTTTAGCAGACTGGAAGCTGTAAGCAAACATTTCTAGGGCAAAGATTTACTTCAGCTAACCATTAAAAATGGAGAATTGCAGTTCTTCCATTTCAGATGCCATCAGAGAAGGGCTGTGTTTGTTTTGCTTACCAGGTTTTACAAATCAGTTAGAGGATGTTATTGGGACAGAGGAATAGTGTTTTATCAAGGATAATTTCCTGATTTTGAAAAATGCACTGTAATTATATAAGAAAATGTCCTTCAGTTTAAGGAAAAGCAGAAGTGTTTAGGAATGAAGAAGCATCATGTCTGTAACATGGTTCAGAGCTAAGTACATCTGTACATATAAAGAATAAGCATATATGAAAATGTTCCCATTTGGGGAATGTAGGCAGAGTATACAAGGATTCTTTCTACTCCTCTGAAATTATTTCAAAATAAAGTTAAAAATTGTTAGGGTTCAAAACCAGCCTGGGAAACATAGTGAGATGCTCCAAAACAAACAAAAAAAAACCTGTTAGGATTTGATGTTACCTTAGGTGTTCTAATTTGATTACTCTAGACAAGTGCTTTTCATATTACAAATCATGACCCAGTGATGGGTCATGAAGTTAATTTAGTGGGTCTTGAATAGAAAATAACAGTGAGCATTACACCTATTATATAGGAGGGTATACTTGTGAAACTTTTGTTCATGTGTGTCCTTGTGTTGGGATGTGATAAAAAGTTTTTTTTCTTGCTGTGACAAAAGTTTGAAAGCAGTTTGTATGAAAAAAGTTCTTTTACTTCATACATTTGTGAGCCACCAGTCCTTTCTTAATCACAGAGAGATGGCTTTTGGTACCAATAGACTTGACTATACATGATATATTTCATCTAAGAGTCCCAGTTTTACCTGTATTCTTAATCTGGTTTATTATCCAAAAATTTCAGCTTAAAGATATGAGACTTACAGTGTTATATAGAGGAGGAAAATCATTGCTTGCAAAAATCAGGGGTGACCTGTTTGGCTGAATTAGATATTAATTCTTTTAATAAAGGTAAGTCAAGCAAGGTTTCAGAACACTTTGAGGACACTTCTAAAGGGGTTTATTTTCCTGCTCCTTTGTCTCCACAAAATACAACAGGTATTAGCACACTATTCTCAGCTCTTTCTTAGGGGACTTGTTTGCATGTTGGAGGAAGACAGGCCTCTCATAGTTGTCCAGTCTGCTTTCGGTGAGGAGAGGGGACCCTGGGAAGGCAAGAGTGATTGGCAGTAGTGCTATGTGGGTGTGACTCCTTTACCTACCTGTTTAATGTAAATGGGAAGGCTCCTTCCTGTTCAGTTGTACCATTAAATAACAAGCTGGCACCATTTTTTGAATAGTGATTTCTCACAGGAATTTTGCAACACTAGCTTCATTTATTTTGGTATTGTGAAGTAACTGGAGAACAGCAGGAAATACTGCCATGTCACTTCCATTTTTTTTCCAAGAGAGGAAATAAAATCTGTGGGATTTAGGGCTTTAAACCAATACAAGGAAATTAAACAAATGACTTCCTAGAATTTAAAAGCCACCTTCAAAAAAACTTATGTACCTTCAAATGTTATAAAAATTTTCTGCCTTGAATAGGTGGGTATTTTTTTTCTTTAATTAGTAAAAAACTTTGGTTTCTAGGCTTAATTTTGTACCATATCTCACAGGACATACTGGTAGTATTAGGTCTGTGTTTTCTCACTGCATGGTCTGAAGTAACTAGATTTCCGGAATTCTATTAACTCAACCAAATCAGCTTTTTACCACTTAACATTCTCATTTTACCTACTGAAGTGGACTGTGTAATACTTAACATCCTTAAGAAATATATTTGTTTCTGATACACATCTTAGATGTTTTCTGAAATATAAGAGTTTAGTTGAAGAACCAGAATAGCAGTTATTAGAAGTGTTTAGCATTGGCTCCCAAGATTTTAACAGATGTGGTGAACACCACACTACTACACAATCTAATCTCAGCTTGCCTCTTAATTTTGGTAGGTTTCCTTCAGTGTGAAACAACAGTGGTTTCCAGGATTTCTATCCAGCAAAAGTTTAACTGTGAGGAAGCTCTTTTACCTATCCTGTAAGGAAGTAGATTTATTGGAACTCTTAAATGAGTTTGGTTGTTTTTGAGCCCAAGAGTTCAACAGCAGTACAAATTTAAATATGACTTTCTTTCCAGTCTGGTGAGTGTATTACATTGATTGTCTCTTACAAAACAGTGCAAGGCAGATCTTTACTATTGTGTTTTTTTTTTTTTTTTTTTTTTTTTGAGATGGAGTTTCACTCGTTACCCAGGCTGGAGTGCAATGACGCGATCTCGGCTCACTGCAACCTCCGCCTCCTGGGTTCAGGCAATTCTCCTGCCTCAGCCTCCTGAGTAGCTGGGATTACAGGCACGCGCCACCATGCCCAGCTAATTTTTTGTATTTTTAGTAGAGACGGGGTTTCACTGTCTTGACCAGGATGGTCTCGATCTCTTGGCCTTGTGATCCACCTGCCTCGGCCTCCCAAAGTGCTGGGATTACAGGCATGAGCCACCGCGCCCGGCCCACTATTGTGTTTTTTAAAAGCCTTTGAGATGTTTTATTTTCTGGGATGTGAACTATCTGTTTTTTCTCTTATTAACACGCAGAGGGCTATATGTGTCTCTCATCTCTAGAAGTTTATTTTCAAAATGACACATCCCAGATTGAAATGGGCACTTAGCAGACATGTGTGGACCGCAAGACTTGTCTGGGCACATGTTCTTAAAACAGTTTTTTAACCAATCAAGTTAAGTTTTCAAAAATTTTTCTTATACAGGTCCATATATGGACTTCATCCCTTGGACAACAGAAGAACAGAAGCTTTTGGAACAAGCTTTGAAAACATACCCAGTAAATACACCTGAAAGATGGGAAAAAATAGCAGAAGCTGTGCCTGGCAGGACAAAGAAGGACTGCATGAAACGATACAAGGTTGCAGATTTAGAGTTTATAGTTTGTTTTATTTTTACTTGTAACTTGGGTTATATAGTATCATTTATTTTGGTATTGTGAAGTGAGGAGAGAAGAGCAGGAAATACTGCCATGTCACTTCCATCTTTTTTCCAAGAGAGGAAATAAAATCTGTGGTATTTAGGGTTATATAGTCTAGGTTATATAATTCAGGTCATATTTTATGTCTATTAAGCAGTTAATATAGTCCTTATTTCAATACCAGTAGTTATGTAGTTATGGGGCCAATATTATTAGGAAGAAATGAGCAGCCCTAGAAACTTTCTAGCCCTGGCAGATAGCGAATCTTGAATTTTTTACATATTTATATCGAACGCTAGATTAAAATGTCAGTTTTTAAATTCTGACTTCTCAAATCACACCTTTCTCCCTTCCTAGGAACTTGTTGAGATGGTAAAAGCAAAGAAAGCTGCTCAAGAACAAGTGCTGAATGCAAGTAGAGCCAAGAAATGACTTAATGACAATCTTTGTTATGTGCATTTTTATAATAAAACTGAAAATACTGTAAACATTTTCATTCTTAAAATATACCTATGGTAATAATTGAAAGTGTGCTCCTTCCAGCATAATTTCTCAGAGGACAAGGACTGACCGCTGATGCAAAACCACCTTCAGGGGGTAGTCTTTTTATCCTTTGAAAATATGATACAGTATTTCATTTAAATTTCCAAATGTATATACATGTATATTTTTATTTTTTTCTAGGTCTTAGTTTTTTGTGTGTGAGATGGAGTCTCACTCTCTTGCCCAGGCTGCAGTACAGTGGCACAATCTTGGCTCAGTGCAACCTCTGCCTGCAGGTTCAAGCAATTCTCCTGCCTCAGCCTCCCAAGTAGGTGGGACTACAGGTGCGCGACACCACACTCAGGTAATTTTTTATATTTTTACTAGAAATGGGGTTTTCACCATGCTGGCCAGGCTGGTCTCGAACTCCTGACCATGCAATCACCCACCTTAGTCTTGCCAAGTGCTAGGATTACAGACATGAGCCACCATGCCCGGCTCAAAAAATTTTGATCAGGAGCATTTTAATCACGAAGCCAACACATGTTACTGCAAATCTGATTAAAATCTGGTAGTTGCTCAATGGGACCTGAGGATTAAAAAGAAGACAGTTAAAAGAATTCAAAGTACCTGACCAACTTTTTATATAGAAGAAAAGAAGGCAGGCTTACCAACAGCAGCAATAGCTGGACTCTTATTATAAATATATTTGGTACATACTTCTCGAATTGTCTCAGCATTCACAGCCTGAAATATGGAAGACATTGTCATTCAGCTTTCTGTAGTAAAGACAAAGTCTATACCTGGAACTTTTTAAAACTAAAGCAAGATAAAAGATATATATTCTCAGCTTTTTGTAACCCCAATAGTAACTAAGGACTGCTTACATCAATTCTTGCTTCAAGCTCAGGGATGGGAATCCTTCTATTATAGCATAACATTTGCCTACCAATATCTTCACAAATTGGAGTTGAACCTGTTTAAAGAGAAGGAAAAATTAAGTGTTGGAATATAGATCAACCATACAAAAATAGAACCTGTGGCTGGGCGTGGTGGCTCATGCCTGTAATCCCAGGGGAGCCGGATCACCTGCGGTCAGGAGTTTAAGACTAACCTGGCCAGCATGGTAAAATCCTGTCGGTACTAAAAATACAAAAAATTAACCAGGTGTGGTGGTGGGTGCTTGTAGTCCCAGCTACTCTGGCAGCTGAGGCAGGAGAATCGCCCGAACCCAGGAGGCAGAGGTTGCAGTGAGCCAAAGTTGCACCACTGTACTCCAGCCTGGGCAACAAAAGCAAAACTCTGTCTCAACAAGAAAAAGGAACCTATGTCTTTATTTTTACCATCAAGCTGCAACAACATGTTCGTTTTCAGAAGATTTCTGGCTCGTGCAACCTCACTTTCAGTGACACTTGTACAGAGTCGCATCCTAAAAATCATTTGGAAAAACAGTATTATCAAGTAGTTGGAAAATGTTGTATTTCATTAGTTAATGATCTAAGATGCCATGTTCTACACATGACACACAGGTGATTATGATTTAATCCTAATGCTAAGCAAAAGCTAAAATGATTCTTGATTTTCCCTAGTATTGTTAATTTATCAATAATGATATGTAAACATGTCTACACATTAGCAGATAAAGGTTTAATACAAATAGGCTCACATTTTCAGAAAGGCTTTAAGCATCTTGAGACTTCATGAATCCCCATCTGTTGGTGTCTGATATGCTATGGATTAAGTCAGTGGATCATTCATTGGTCTCTCAAAACAATGAGTTGAGTCTAACTTAAACTTAATTTTTACATCCTAGTTGACTAGATTTAGAAAGATGTAAGCCAGTTAAGAATAGTGGGGGAAAGGAACCAGAGCTAAAAGTTTTCCAAGAAGTTGTGAGCCTTTCTGCCCATCTACTGAGTCAATATACTTTTCTTTTAGCAATGGCAACTTCAGATTTACTTTCCCATCCAAGCCAGACTACTTTCAGAGAGATTTTTCCCATCAACTTCTATTTGGCTTTTAAACTTTTAGGGTCACTTTTCTGAATATCTGAAACATTAAAACTTTCTACCGTATACATTAGCTTCATATCTTGAGACTTAGGGAAAAAATGTCTGCAATCTTTAAAAACATGGTAACTACTGTTTATCTAGTTCTCTTAATTAAAAGGTAAAACTACCACAAATCACCGTAGAAAAAATCAGTCTAAAACAAATTAAAAGCAAAATTTACTTAAAGCTATTTTCTCACCATTCTTTCTGAACAACATGTAGCATGTCTGCAATGGTGGCTGGTTCACAAACCATATACAGTCCCCATAATCCTGTATCTGTGTAGGATGTGTTGAAAGACTGAAAGCTATGGCAAAGGTTGCCATGACAAGTGAGCTGGGCCAGCTTGCTAGATAAATTCTATAAGGAAAAAAAAATTCCAAGATAATTTTAAGTACACATATCCAAAATACCAGAAAGAAAAAAATGTGTGGAAAACAGTTAATACCCTTAGAGGCTAAATTTCCCAGTTTTATTCAACATCTCAGTAGTAAAGGCTCAGCCAACTAAGAACTGCGCTTATCTCACACACTGCACCCCCTGGAGAAATTCATGATATAAAAGCAATGAATCCTTATAACTAATGTAGTAGCTGTACCTAATTCTAAAACTAGATTGCTATTATCAACCCAATTTATAGGGCTCTTGGCTATGGATAAAGATTCAAAATTATATTACATATGAAGCTTAAGATATATACAGGAAACGTATTTTGGGGGAAATCTATGAGTAAAAACAAATCTATACAATGTTTTGAAATACTTCCAACTTAAAAAGAAGTTGCAAAAACAACAAAGAATTCCCTTTATCCAAACTGCCTGTTATTTTACCATGTTTCCTTTATTCTCTTTATACAAGTTTTTTCAACTGTTTCAGAGTTTAGATGTGATGCTTCTTGTGAATATATGTACTAAGTACTTTAGTATGTACTCGTGAAAAACAAGGAAATTAATTTTTTTACATCACCTCAGTATGGTTCCTCAGTATCTGTGGGAAATTGGTTTCCAGATCCCTGTGGATACCAAAATCCACTGATGCTACAGCCCTCATGTAACATGGTGTATGTAGTATTTGCATATAAGCAACCTAAGAATAACCTCCTATATACTTTAAATTATCTTTAGATAAATACCAAATCCATGTAAATACTATGTAGTTAATATATTATATTGTTTAGGAAGTGACTCAAAAAGAGTCTATATGTTCAGTACAGACGCAACAATCCATTTCTTCCCCTAAATATTCCACCTATGGTTGGTTGAATCCATGGATATGGAACCCACAGCTATAGAGGGCCTACTGTACTATTAAAATTAGGAGGTTAACATTGATATAGTACTTTTAGCCAATTCTTCTGTCCTTATTCAAATTTTGCCAATTATGCCACTAATAAACTTGGCAAAGAAAATGTTTTTTTCTGGCCCACATGCAATCCAGGATCAGTTTATAGTTTATATTTTTAAGTCAGAATTCACAGTACAAGGCTCTATTTTGCCACTTTAAAAAAGGATTCTTAAAAGAACTTATATTTAGGAAAACACGATCATCTTCCATCTGTTATGGAAAATTTCTTTTAAAGTCACTTACCATTCCTCCTCCAAAAGAGCGATCCCAGTTGCCAATCAGCGTGTTTGCAACCATGAGACATATTGTATCTGGATGTGCCCAACCAACAGCTTCAACAGCTATTGCAAAGTATGCCAAAGGCATCTTGTCATCCCTCACACGAATCTAGTTAAGATAAAGCAGGGGGACCTCTAATTAAGATTACCATTACTGTATATAATATGCTTATTAACAAGAAAAAATCACCAGTTCCATTAATTGCAAAGTTAAAATGCTCACCAGGACTCTATTTTGATTTTTTAACTATCAGGCCTCATTACATCATATAGTTCAATCTAGAAAAATTTCATGGGTTAAGGAAAAATTACTCTTCCCAAAAGATTTTACTACAGACAGCCACCACATGGTTTACATGGTCAAAAAGTGTTGCATTTTTTTTTTGGTAATATTTTTTTCTTTTTTTTTTTAAATTTTATTTTTTTTTTTTTTTTTTTTTTTTTTTTTTTTTCCTGAAACCAACTCTTGCTCTGTCACCCAGGCTGCAGTGCAGTGGCACAATCTTGGCTCACTGCAACCTCTGCCTCCCAGGTTCAAGCAATTCTGCCTCAGTCGCCTGAGTAGCCAGGACTATAGGCATGCACCACCACGCTCAGCTAATTTTTGTATTTTTAGTAGAGACAGGGTTTCACCATGTTGGTGAGGCTGGCCTCAAACTTCTAACCTGAATTGATACACCCACCTCAGCTTCCCCAAGTGCTGGGGTTACAGGCGTGAGCCACCGTGCCTAGCCTCAATCTAAATTTTTCTACTGAAATTTCATATTGACATTACAGGTTTATTTTTGTACTGCCAATGGTACAGTTCTACACAACTGCCAGTATCAGGGCATTTTCCAGATACTACTTTGAGCATCATCCTTAACATGGCAAATTAAGCCTCTTATGAGGCTTAAAGCTAGCTGATAACTACCAGATTCCCTGCGAGTTCTGGCTCTAACAGTTACTAGCCCCCAAAACATACTGTGGGCAAAACTGAGCCAAGAGTAAAACTGAAGTGAAAGTCAAAATACGGAGTTTAATTAAAAGATTACTTTCAGCTCTTATAATATATAAATGGGCATAGTGCCAAAGAAAAAGCACAAAAAGACCAAATTATAAACTGCTCTTAAAACCTTGCTTCCTTTCAGACTAGAATGAAGAAATTAAAAGCAAAACAAACTTGCTCCCTTAGGAAAGGAAAATAGGTAGTGAAGGAACAGGAAGAAGGAAGGAATGTAAGCAAATGAGTACATCCTCTTCCCTTTTTATGTGTTTCAACGTAAGCCTTTTACTTACTCCATTCTATTCCTACTGGAAATAAGCACATTTTATATACTTATGTGTAAATACAACACAAGGAATCCAACAGGCTAAATACTAGCTGGGAGGCTTGTCCTACCTCACTTCCTGTGAATTTGCAGGGAGGCAGAGCTGGTATTTCTCCTTTGTGTGTGCATAAAGAGTCACCAAAATGCAACTTTGCTAAGTCAAGCAGTTCATCATGGGAAACACCTAAATCGAAAGAAAATATTTTCACATGTTATCTAGCTGCAATATAGTTTACAATGTGGTATAATGTGATGTACATTACACATGAACTATCTGCACTTACTAAAAGCCATTATTTAAGAGTAAGCTCACAAAGCACACCTATTTCCTTGGTGTTGCAAAGCTTGGGATTGCACGCTTTCTTTCTCATTGTAGAGCAACTCAGTTTTCATCAACAGACCAATGGATTCACAGCTAAGAATAAGACAACTTGAAAACACCACTTTTGACAAAATCATATTCTATTAAATTATAAAGACTTCTAGGATGCAAAGTAGCAAAAAATGCTAATTTTCCAAAAAAAATTTAGTGGAAAATACGAATATGGGCTCTATCTAATTAAAGTAAAGCTGGAGCTGGGCATGGTGGCTCAAGGGTGAGGTGAGAGGATCACTTGAGTGCAGGAGTTCAAGACCAGCCTGAACAACACAGCAAGACTGTCTCAATAAATAAAAAAATAAAAGCCGGATGCCGTGGCTCACACCTGTTATCCAAGCACTGCGGGAAGTGAAGGTGGTCAGGTCACTTGAAATCAGGAGTTCAAGACCAGCCTGGCCAATATGGTGAAACCCCATCTTACTAAAAATACAAAAATTAGCTCGGCGTGGCAACAGGTGCCTGTAATCCCACCTTTTCAAGAGGGTGAGGCAGGAGAATTGCTTGAACCCAGGAGGAGGTTACAGTGTGCTGAGATCACACCACTGCACTCTAGCCTGGGTGACAGAGCAAGATTCTGTCTCTACAATAAATAAAATCAAATAAATAAAAGAAAGCTGGATACACAGATATACTTTATTCTCTGCACTCTGCTATCAGAACTAGGAACACAATAGTGTCATCTAATTTCTGAATACATCCATAGGTATCCAAATGCAAAAACTTAGGAATTACTTAACGCTCCATATCCCTTACTATCTGAACTTGGGACCCAAATAGATAATGTGAAAGATTCCTAAACACAAATATATAAACTTAAAAAATTTTAGACATGTATGAGGGCTTTAAAATATATTATGGTAAGATTCTTTACCTTAAAATATAAAATTACAATTTTATAATAAATGAAGCTAGGATACAAAAAACTGTTTGGCAAGTAAAAGCCTGAAGATTAACCTAGAAGAGTTAAATGGTAACCAAGACAATAATTCAGAGGCCAGTAGAAACTTAAAACTGGCCTATTTCATTGAATTTAAGATGCAATCATATAATTTATAAGGCACTATGTCACTTATGTATTTAAGATGAATACTAATTAATCTACAACAAGCCATTAAACTAATGATATCCCAACTTCAGCTATGTCAAAATGAACTCGTGAACCAAAGTAAAAGTCATTCTGTCCATATGCCACCAACAATGGCAGAGAGATCGCAGAAAGTTTGGTTATTGAGGACCCACATAACAAGTCTCTTGTCCCATTTCCAAGTTTCAAACGTTTAAGACCTAGTCAGCAAGAGCCATTTTAGAAACGATGTTACTTAAGAGAATTTCAGAGTGTACTTCCTGTCACATACAATGAAGGTAACATGACTTTAGCTAGGTGCTACAATGAATAACATGTTTGGTATTTAATGTTTTCATCCTCTCCATTACCCCAAAGTAATTAGGTCAGAAATCAATCCAGAGTAACTAGAATTTTTAAATTATAATTTCTAAAAAGAGAAAAATTAAATTTACAACATGAAAGAAAACTTCACTTTGCTCTAATATTAAAAAATAGAGAAATGAAAACTGGGCTGGGTGTAGTGGCTCATGCCTGTAATCCCCAAGCTTTTGGAGACCAAGGTGGATGGATCACTTGAGCTCACAAGTTCAAAACCAGCCTCAGCAACATGGTTAAGACTCTATCTCTATTTCTATAAATATATATATATTTTTTTAAAAAGTGGAAACCCATTAAAATATACTGTTGCCTAGATTCAGACTGCCAGGAATTTTGGCAATATGTGCTGTAATTTGTTTTTTCATTCACTGGCTTCAAACAGGACCTCAAGAAAACCTTCTGCTGTCACCTGCATGTTTGGATTCCCATTCAACAGTCTCATGGCTCCTATGTGCTTCCCTTTCCCAAAAATTAGATCTATTAAATGAATGATTGAACAAATGAAAGAATGAACAACATACCCATTCATGCTTAAACAAGGACAAAGTTGGTTCTCAAGAAATAATTTATAATCTCAAGAAATTCTCAAAGTACAGAACACTTATCTTCCAGCTATCTACCAGTTCACTCATTTGCCCTTTTCTTGGAAGTTCTACTATGTATGTACACTTAAGTATTGAACAGTTCACTAAATCTTTCTATAAATGAAACCTATTTAAAAAAAAAATAGAGGGGAAGGCGGCCCTGGTCAACGTCAACACTGGGAGCCTCATCTGCAATGTAGGGGCTGGTGGACCTGCTTCAGCAGCTAGTGCTGCACCAGCAGGAGGTCCTGCTCCTCCACTGCTGCTGCTCCAGCTGAAGAGAAGAAAGTAGAAGCAATGAAAGAAGAATCTGAGGAGTCTGACAATGACATGGGCTTTGGTCTTTTTGACTAAACCTCTTTTATAATGTGTTTATAGTTTGGGAATGTGCTCTGCAGAAAAAAAAAAAAAATAGAGGGAAAGTCTGGCTCCAGTGCTCCACATTCCCCATCACAGTATCAAATACAGTTATTTGCTATGTAAATGAAAATTCTTAGGATATCTCCCAATGGGATCAAACTGGTATATCACTCCAGCAACTGTGTTTAAAATATGTGTAGAAATTTAAATTGACTAACCTCCAGCAGCAGCAAGAACTATTCTTGGCCCCTTATAATGTGTGGTTATATAATCCACTAAGTCCTTACGACTTATAGATCTGCAAATGAAGTAAAACAATTTTTAAAGGAAACAAATTGACATAATATACCTGAAATCAAATTGGGCCATAACAGTATCCTAAAATGCAGTTGGAAATAGGATATAGGCAGCACATCAAAGAGCTTCAACTTTTTTACATCAAGGAAAAAAGATTTGACACCATTACTTGTTTATTCCAGAAATACCTATGAACTCACACGATTGGGAGGTAGGTGGGACTAAAAGATAGCTAACTACAATTTCACTCGGATTACCAGGGGAAAATGACTTTTTGAAACATACTTTTTCAAAGTTTGTAAATGTTAATTTTCAAAATTCATAAATTCCCTTACCCACCAAGAAATTCTGAGAGTTATACCTACTTGATATTTTCAGTTGGTCCCAAAATTGTCCGTCCAAGTGCAGTATTTTGATAAGCTGTGGCATGAAGATAATCAAAAACAACTTCTTGTAAATTGGTTTCAACTTCTTGCATCTCTCTAAGGATTACTCCACGCTCACGTTCAATCTCTGCTTCTCCCAGTGTGCTGTTTTGTATGATATCGGCAAGAATTTCTACAGCTAATTGAAAATAAAACATAAGAAGAAACACCAGCAATCTTTCACTATTAACATCTATTAAACCAACATCAGAAATCATGACACTGACACCATCACTCGATATTAAATGATTAGGCTAGGAGAAAAATATTATACTTAAAAGGACAAAATTAAAATTTATCCCTATAGTACAAAAGATTTTTCCTTGGGAAAAAATTATAAATTTGCCATCACTCTGTAACGACTCTACCTACTTCAAAAATGCTATGGAAATAAGCCTATTAATATAAATTGTTCTATGTGAAAACTACAAAGCAATATATATTAGTCTGAAAATATCTAGCTACATATATACACAGGATTCTCATCACCCGATATTTACTATGCAAGTTTCCACAGCAATGAGAGTGCTATGTTAAGAAGCAAAGAACTGGCCAGGCACAGTTGCTCACACCTAAAATCCTAGCACTCTGGGAGGCCAAGATGGGCTTCAGCTCAGGAGCTGGAGACCAACTTGGGCAACATGCCAAAATCATGTCTCCACAAAAATTAGCTGGGTATGGCGGCATGCGTCTGTAGTCCCTGCTACTCGGGAGGCTGAGATGGGAGGATGGCTTCAGCTTGGGAGGCAAAGGTTGCAGTGAGCTGAGATTTCGCACTGCACTCCTGTCTGGGCAACAGAGTGAGAAAAGAATCCTTATATTCGAAAATAAGCCCCCAAATGAATAACTTACAGAATTGTGTGTTCTCAAACCTTAATTTGCAAAAAGCCAAAAGTGAAGTGGAAGATGTCATATTAAGCCATTAAGCAATTTTTATCAGAAAAAGTGCATCCAAAAAAAAATGTAATTCATTATTGAAGAATTAGTACATAGTTGCAATCATAATCTAAATGTCATTAATACAATTATGTTAAATAAACTTACAATCGTAAGTTTCTTTTTTTTCCTATGTCTCCATAATGAGACAAGGTCTCATTATGCCGCAGAGGCCAGACTCAAATTCCTGGACTCAAGCAATCCTCCCACCTCAGCTTCCTACAAGTAGCCAGGACTAAAGGTATGCACCACTGTGTCCGGTTTAGGTTTCATTTTTTTACTCTACTGTAACCTTTTGTTCCTTATTTTAATTAAGTTCACTTTTTTTTTTTTTTAAGATGGGGTTTCACCATGTTGGTCAGGCTGGTCTTGAACTCCCGACCTCAGGTGATCCACCCACCTTGGCCTCCAAAGTGCTTGGATTACAGGCGTGAGCCACCACACCCAGCCTAATTAAGTTCACTTCAAAGGGCACTGTCTCAGAACTGATTATGTTCAAATACTAAGAATATGACAAAACAGACTATTATGGTAAGCTGTGGCTGAGATCATGACCAAAAGGAAAAAATTATCTGTAAAACCAAATAAAACCTATCTGCCCAGGTGAGAGAACCAGGGTCCAGTAAGATAGGTGAGGAAGAGCCCACAGACAGAAGGACAAAAATTCCTGTGTGAAAATCCTCCTTTATGTGGGATTGGTGGTCTACACTGGTAGTTTCCAAAGGAGGGGAGGAGAACTCCTATTTCCCAGTCTTTATGTTTTAATCTGAATCTTTTTAAAAAATTTATATTTAATGTAGGTTAGTATAGTCGCACATGTATTTAACTTACAAGTATACATACATTAAGGATATATGATCAACTTTCTTACCAGTAATAAGTGATTATAAAAACTTGGAGACCATTAGTCTGAACATCTATTACCTCATATATCAAGCTTCAACCAGCTGAAGGTATAAAAACCGCAAGTAAATCCCCAAAGTTGGAGCTGCTTCAGAGAGCACTCCCATTTTGTATTCTTCAAGGAGATCCCCCTCTGCTTTTCCACACCCACTAGAAGAGGCTCTGTCCTTCCCAGCCAGATGCCAGGAGAAAAGAGGGAAAAGTCTTTTCAACATCACCCTTCCTTTTTGTTTCCCATTTTTGTCTTCCCTGTTGTTCTGTGTATATAAAGGAATGAACTGGGCTGGAATGAACAACTGTTAGAGAGGCCTGGCCTAGCCCTATGTTCTCGGTCCCTAATTAGTCCTGGGACAAAAACTGTTTTTATTGGCTTTGTTATTCAAACCAGCACACCCTTCATGGTTGCTGTCATTTTTGTTTCAATGCAAGAGTTAGGGCATCCTATTAAATATTCTAGTTATTTACAGGTGATAGGTTTCTTATTTTGTTGTTTTGTCAAAGTAAATGAATGTAGTCAGAAGACATGCACTTGAGTCCACAGTAAGTCACCCGATAGCTATGCAATCCTGGGCAAGTCAGAGTCTGGGCTTTCATTTCCACAACTGCAAGGTGGAAATACCTATGCGGACCAGATGGATAATATATATACAATACTTGTGTAAAGTGCCATTTAAACATTATTAATGAAAGCCTATTAGGAACCCAAAAATTGCAAAGTAATAACAACTACAGAGGGACCTTAAAGGTTAATAATTTCACCAGTGGCCATGTGCAGTGGCTCATGCTTATAATCCCCGCACTTCGGAAGACTAAGGTGGGTGGCTCACTTGAGGTCAGGAGTTTAAGATCAGCCTGGCCAACATGGTAAAACCCCATTTCTACTAAAAGTACAAAAATTAGCCATAGTGGCAGGAGCCTGTAGCTACTCAGGAGGCTGAGGCAAGAGAATCACTTGAGCCCAGAAGGCGGAGGTTGCAGTGAGCTGAGATCATACCACTGCACTCCAGCCTGGGTGACAGAGTGAGACTCTCTCTCTAAAAAAAATAATAATAATTTTACCAGTTAGCTCTAAAACTGCTAAATTTTGTTAATTTTTCCACTGGGAAATAACTTTAAGACAGTCAAAACAGTCTACAAACATGGTAACTACAACAAACTGCTATCCTGTCAAAGTAACTATTTTATTTCCACCAAATAATCTCTATTTTAATTGCTACATATTCATAAAATCATGTTCATAATATTACAAATATTATCATCCATAATATTACTATTTGTCATATTTAGAAAAAAAAATAGGCCAGGTGCAGTAGCTCATGCCTGTAATTCCAGCACTTTGGGAGGCCGAGGCGGGCGGATCACAAAGTCAGGAGTTTGAGACCAGCCTGGCCAATATGGTGAAACCCCGTCTCTAGTAAAAATACAAAAAATTAGCCAGGTGTGATGACAAGCGCCTGTAGTCCCACCTACCCAGGAGGCTCGGGAGGCTGAGTCAGGAGAATTGCTTGAATCAAGGAGGCAGAGGCTGCAGTGAGCCAAGATCACTCCACTGCATTCCAGCCTGGGAGACAGAGCAGCGAAACTCTGTCTCCCCCACCATGCACGCGTGCGCACGCACGCACGCACACACACACACACAAAAGATTGCTGTACCCTCACCCAGAGTTCAGGTTCATATTTTCACATTTCTGGGGCTTACTCTTTTACAAGAGACATAATAAAAATAGTACTAATTTCTGATTCTCATAAAAATTATATTATCTGCTGTATAAATAATAACAATACCTCTTGGCAAGTCTTTAGAGAATGCTTTGGCATAGTATACGGTCTGCTCTCTGGAGGTATAGGCATTGAGATGAGCACCCATGTTTTCAATCTCAAGTTCCAGATCTAACTGGGATCTCTTTTTGGTGCCCTTGAAATAAAAGAGGAAAAACAAATTATGAAACCTCCCTTTATCCTTCCTATTCTAAACACTTCAGATCATAAATATGGAGGACATAAGTTAGTTTCATGCAGGGTCAAATTTGGTCTCTAAAGTACATCAGGCAGGGTACCATGGCTCACGCCTGTAACCCTGGCACTTTGGGAGGCTGAGGTAGGCAGACTGAGCCCAGGAGTTTGGTACCAACCTCGCCAACATGGTGAAACCCGGTTTCTACCAAAAAAAATAAATAAATAATAAATCTGGGTGTGGTGGCACACACCTATAATCCCAGCTATTCCAGAAGCTAATGTGGGAGGATGGCTTGAGCCTAGAGTGGAGGTTGCAGTAAGCAGAGATTGTGTCAACGCACTCCAGCCTAGGCAACAGAACCAGATCCTATCTCAAAAAAAATTTTTTTGTTAATAAAGTACATCAGGCTTCAGAAATAGTACACATTCAGATGACCCCTGCATCCCAAGAGAACGTTTCCATTTCAGCTTTCCAAAGCAATTATTAGTACTTATTTTAGATACTGTCCTGGAAAAATAAACGTAAAACATGTTATACTACTGAAAGAGCTCTCCTTGCCTCTAAAGAATGAAACTTTGTGCTTAATCTCTTAAAGAGTGTGTTTTTGTAAAGTCTTACAACTTGCCTTGAAAGCCATATGCTCCAGAAAGTGAGCTGTTCCGTTATTCTTCTCATTTTCATATCTACTTCCAGCATCAATCCAGAGTCCAACCTTAATGCAATCAAATAACAATTAAATAAAATCATTTTATTTATTTGAGGTTGCTGGGAACCTTCTCCTTCCTTTTTCTGACAAAGGCTTTCTGGTCTTAACACTAAGATTTTCTTGACCTGAGCGAACTGACAGCTCACTCCTATGAACTATGAGACTGAAAAGTTTTGATCAGGCTACTGCTGGGTGCTACAAATGCTGGGTGCTACAAATATCTACCTGCCACCTTCACTAAGGATTCTTTGCCCAACTCATTAAGCCAACAAATTAATAAATGTAATATAAAGAACATCAGAGACTGTCAGAAAACCAGTTGAAATCTTGGCTCTGTCATGTATTCGCTGAGGGACCTGAACAAAACCATTTAACTTCGCTCACTTCCTTAACTATAAACACGTGTGAGGACGCCCACTAAAAAGAATTGCTTTAAAAAGCAAATAAGACATACATAAAAACACCTGGCAGAGCAGCCCGGCAAATATACCTCTTCCATTATTATCGATACTACTAATAATAATCAGTAATCTACAAGAACAAGAGGCAAACAGTGCAACAGGATACATATGCACCCTATAAGTATCACTGGAAGAAACGGTTCAAGACTCGGGGAAACCTGTCAAGGCAAAATCACTGCCACCCCTTTTCAACCACCAGCCAACGAAAAAGCTAAAGATTAAAATTAACAATTTGCTCCGCTAAACAAACGGTCACTTAGAGAAGGTTGCCTGAGTCACTTACTGTGCATGTTGAGAGCCCAGAGTCTTCAGAGGCCACTCTAAGTCCGCTTTCTAAACATGTTACTCTTGTTTCAGGGACATTCAGAACAACTTGTGTAGCAGCCTGTGTACTTCTCAATCTATTGACTCCAAAATATGATGACTGGTTGGGGGTAGGAAGTGGAAAAGACAAAGCAAAACATTACTAATCTGACATGAAATGCTGACTTTAAACCAAATCTATCTTAAATAGGCTCTCTCCACAAAAGAATCTTTCTTCCTGAATTTTGGTTCCACTGGGATCTACCCCTCTGCCTGGCCTAGAAACTTCTGTCACCAGTCACTGTCCTAAAGCCAGCAACGTGATTACAAACATGCCCTTCCCTCAGGGAAGATGAGCAGTTATTAGCATCATACAGAGAAACTGACTTTATTTCACTACCTATCCTAGATAGGTTTTACATTCATTATGGAGAAAACAAGCGGGGGAGGGAAGGGGGAGAAAGAAAAGGAGGGAAAAGATGTAAAACTACCTACACACAAGATAGAACCCTCGGGTTCTCATTGTTCAAGAAAAGCAACAAGTTGTGGAAACAATAGAAAAAGAGGATAGGAAGATAGGCTGATGTTCTAAATGCACTCCAGCTGACTGGCTTGTCGGCCAGGAACTATTCACCTTTCAGCAGTTTTTCTTTGCTTTTATACATATGTTAAGTCTCACGTCCCTTTGCTGAAAGGCAGAGACTCTCTCATGAGAAAAATGCTAATTTAACACATACAAAATTTTACTTCGGCGATGTCCAGGTTCGCGGGAAGCCTGGCTGAGGTCGAAGCTCAGTCCCAGGCAAAAACAGAACTCTGGAGCGGTAACCATTTACTTATTAGTTTTCCGCAATTTGCAAGCACTGTTTTTAGTGGTCAACCATGCATCCTCAGTAGCTCGCGTGAGGACCCGAAAACCAGGGTCATTCCACACGTCAGTGGCACGTTTCCTGGCGGGTGGCCAAAAGCCAGCCACCTCCAGCCAGTTCAGCGGCCCCAGGCTGCCTGGCGCCCGGCAGGTCCGGGTCGAGGAGGCCCTGCCGGACCTGCCGTTCGGATCTGTGGCACCGACTCTTAGGTGCGATGCGCCGGGTCCGGCGAGAGAGACCAGGGCCTGCCCGACCGGGTCTGGCCCCGAGCAGCGCCCAGACAAGTGGAGGGAAGCTCACCCGTCCTGCAGCGCCTCGGATCAGCAGCCTCTCGCTGAAACCCCACAACCGCCGCCGCGCCGCGGGTAACAGGACTGCTCGAGCCGCTGCCGCCGCCATGTCTGCTAGAAGAAAGGTGGAGGATAGAGGATGTGCTTCCGGGGTTACGGCCTGAGGTCCCAGAGCAGGGAGGCGGGCTCCATCTTGTGGCCATGATGGAAATGACACCCCTCGAAGCGGTCGTGAAAAGAATCAGGTCCCGACCAATGCTGCTGAACGGTCTTTACCAAATCACACGAATTGGGGAGTCTGCAGGAAGTCCCTGTATCACCAGTTATTTTATTGATCGCCTACTAACTGCAAGGCACAATTGCGGTGGAGTGAAAGGTAACCTGATGCAATGTATCTCACTGGTGGATGGAATGAATTGAAAACAGTGGAATAAGATCCGTAAGTCACTCTCCTTAAAGGAAAAGTCTAGTGGAAGAGTCAGATGCAACGAGGGGAGGAAAAGATGTATCCATATTGACCCCTATTCACTCTTTGAACCTTTACAGTATGGCTCATCCCATTCCATAGACATTGCCCTCGGTAAGGTCACTAATTGCTAAAAGTTGGACACTTTACAGGCTTATGTTACAGTCCTGTTGGAGGAGATAACATTTTTGGCCTCCATAAAATTCTGTCATTTTATTCTAAAGCTGCACCTCCTCATAGTTCCCTCTGCACCCTCTTGGGCTTCTCTTTATTCACAGATATCTTTGTTTTATTTTGTTTTGTTTTGTTTGTTTGTTTTTTAAGAC